TTTCTCCATCTAACTGCACCCGTCTTCAGATCAGGGCCAAAACACATGAACGAATTCTTCAAGGTCTTGTTGAGATCAAGAACACTGACCTTTGGCGTGTATTGTCAAAGGTCAAGTGCTTTTAGACTGCTGGAATGCCTATGCTGGATGCTTCGCAGGGCAATCATTTGCGGAAGGCTTGGCCTTGCGAGGCTTCGCGGATTCCAAGCAGCTTCAGGATATGGTGTTGCATGTTTACTGGACTCTTGTTGCTGCAACGCATTGAATGTAACTTTGCATTTGCCAATTGGCTTCGCCTCTGTTGTAAAGCCTTACTCACCAATGACACGTGCGCCAACTCCACTGGATGCATCTTGAGATGCTGAAAGTCTACGACCACTTGGAGACAGACCCTTAGATCCCCTAATTAGCTGGTAAGACTCAGGAAGTGGAACCACTTCGGTAGTCAGTCTCGACTCCAGGTGGAAAACAACTCGTCCGGGTCAGCGAGTTCGTTCCATTTCGTCTCTTCGTTCTCTGTCGTGCAGACATCTGCGATCTGCGAGCAAATCGCACCCAGGATGTCAACGTGCTGTTTTGGGCCAACGGGCATTTCTCATGCTCAAAGAGGGCTCAAACACGGGTGATTGGAACTCTGCGGTGCATGATTGGTGCACCATGACTTTGAGTCATCTCCAGTGTCACGCTGTTCAAACCAATCTCACTAGGTTTTAAACATGACATATACAGAACCATGGATTTGCCGTTCTGGCCCTTCAACTTTTCGACAAGGCAAAAGTCAACTACTAACAAGTCGGGAGAAGTCACGAAGCATGTTGACAAGCAGGCAGGGATGAGCCTAAATTCGGAACGGTCAACACACCTGAACAAATTCAAGGTCTTTCTTCACCAAACTCGAGAGCAAGAGAACCGAGCTGAACTTCAACTCCTCACGTCACGACAGGTGGGCCAATTCCGCTGGCAGCCCTCATGCATGCAGGCACTTGGAGAAAAGACCTTTTTGCCCTCTTGCCTTCCATGTCGCATCATTGCCAAAGTTCAAGACTCAACTCCTCATCTCACCAATGACAGGTGGGGCCAATTCATCTGAATCCAAAAGCTCTTTGCCGTGCTTTGGGCTGACGAGCAGCCTTCATGCATTCACGCACTTGGAGAGAAGACCTGTTTGCCCTTTTGCCTTCCATGTCGCATCGAATGTCAAAGTTCAAGACTGAAAACACTTCAGTCAATCAGTTCGGTCTCAACTCGAGACAGAGCAACTCAGCTCGGCCTATAGGGCCTCCGTCCCCCAGTTCGTTCCATCTCGTCTCTTCTTCGTCCTCCAGACAGTCCAGACATCTGCGATCTGCGAGCAAATCGCCCAAACAAATGTGGCAAAGGAACTGCGTGGGACATCGCAAGCTTCGTTCTGCTATGGCAAGCTTCCGCTTCACCAAAAAGGGCGCCAGTATGTCAAGCCGCACTGGAATGAGGTCCATGGCGCAACATTTCCAAAGAACCTGGTTGTTATGAGTCGGTCTACTAGTCATGCATAAATACGTCAGAATCATGTGATACATTGTCTTGTATTGATTATGTTATAACATATACATACTCACAAGGATCTTGCAAATGGTTCAAAGCTAGAAGCCTTCAGCATGTATTGTGAGATTCAGGAATAGAACAGAGGCAAAACCATGATGAAAGCAAAGAGGTTGGCTCACAAAGCCATTCAGCAGTAACAGTTAGCTTGTCCAAAACCGAATATACTATATCTAATTGAAAAAATTGGAGGACGCGTTCTTGCAAACTCTTGGAGTCTCCAAAGCTCTGCTCGGCGCACGACGGCGCCCACCAGAATTCAATGGCCCTGACGCTGTGAGCTTCAACGCCTTGACAAGTAAAAGGGCTTCAAGAAAGGTCAGAATCATCTAGAATCATGGCGACGTAAAGACGGGTTGGACATTGGCTAAACGACCAATGACTACCATGAAAAAAATTACTATACGGGTTCTTGATGGTTCTCCTCTTCAGGCCTCTTCAGGCATCTCGGGCGCTCTCGATGTTCGTCGCTCTTCGATGTCTCATCCGAAGCGGCCACCGTCTCTCGCCTCGCTCGTCGTCTCTCGCCTTGCGACTCCTGGCCGAAATCGAAACCCATCGCAACGGAACATCGTCGCGCACATCGTCCGGTCCTTCGGTCATTCCCCATGAGTCATGCAGGTCATCACTATAAGTAGGTCAAGTTGATCGATGAGGAGTTCTACATTTGATGGGTCGGCGGTTCTATGATGGGCCGATGGTCGATGGAGGTCGATGGAGGTCAATTTGATCGACGATGGGCCAAGCGAACCGACACAGTGGTCGATGGTTGTACCCTCGAAAGGTCGAAGCTTGGCCGTCGCTGAGACCGGTTAAAGCCGATTTGGGCGACTCTCCAACCGATCGGTTTGGTGAGAACAAGCTTCCTGCATCTCACCTTGCAGTAGAATGTCCCCTTGCTTTCTCTTGTGTGAGGGTACTCAATCCACGAAAATGCCTCATCATCTCCAGCCCAAAGATGCTTAAGCTGTATGTATGAGCAAGGAGCAGAGAGGAAACACTTCCAAAATGAAGACAAAGATATGAAGACACATGAAAACCCCAAAAGTCAAGGAGCTAGGTCAACTAGGCGCAAAACTCTCCAAGAAAGGCATTTGATACCACCTGCCCCAGAGTCCACAGTTCTGCACTGTTTCACGGGCCAAATCATCAACTAAGTTCGCCGCTGATCCAAGTCGTGCTTTGATTTGTCCTTTAACTAGGAACACTTTTCAGATTTGTTCCACCAACGTCTCAAGAACGGGGGAGTCCTCCAGCCATGGATTGTAGATGTTGTCCCGCCTTGCAAGAAGTTTCCTGTATAAAACAGTTGTTTAAAAGCATAGAGATTGAGCTCCGTCTCTAGTTACTTGGCAGCCACGTTGAGCCCCATCCTCACATAGTCACCCAACCCCCACCAAAAAAAAAAACAGTCGCGTGAAGTCACGCCTCTGTGCCCAATCCCCCTGCGTATACAAGCGCACACCCTCTCCAACTACATTCTGCAAGAAATGAGTTTCACCTGAAACATATGCGGACTTGCACCTCTGGACTCTAGAATGCTATCCCAAACCAACCGCTGCCTTTTGATCAAAGAATGGTGAGCATTGGCATGGCAAGCAATTTCCCCAGAGCTGCTCTCCACGCCTGCAGGAACTTCTCCCAGAGCGGTGTCAGCTTTGTGGCACCTTCCACCTGCGCCTAGGATGGCGAAACCGGCAACGTGTGCTCCCTCTTCCCAGTGTTTTTTGGAGGTGGACATGGCTAAAGAATGCAAGGGATTTGGGTCCATCATAGGAAAAGGTTCTCTGTGCTTAATGATTCAATCGATTGCGGTTTCCCCTGTTTTCCTCTACTAGTGTTGCTTGTTTTTGAAGATTCTGTTTGCTGTATAAAGGTTTGGACCTGTCTGACACTTTGCTGTCTAGCAGAGGTTTCTGCCAATCCGAGATGGCCTTTCTGCATGAAGAACGATGTGGACATACAGCGCTTGTCTCAAGATTGAGGACATAAGCGTTTGCATTGTTAGTTTTGCTGGTGAACCCGCAAACAAAATAGATATCTAATAATCTAATATAGATGTTTTCATCATGCACATCCCAAATGCGCACATCCTTTAGACACTTACAAACTGATCACAATGAACTCCAACACGCGCACACACCAACCAGAGCATTCTTCAAGGTCAAACCACATGGTTCGCTTCATGGTGGCGCTTAAAACATTTGATCCACCTTGAGTTCAACACGCTTCCCTTGTGAAGCCAAGTGTCTTCGATAGCTAGCTCTGCATGGTAAGGCCAAATGCGCAGCCTCCTGCCAAGCTTCACTGATGATGGCTTGACATTTCGACCCACAACAGCCAGCGACTAGATTTCTACGTTGGATGCACGGGCTTTAGAGCAAGGCAGTTGGTATTTCTAATTCCCTAACTAAACCTCTTGGATTTGCGGTTAGAGATCACCAGGCTTCCTGTTGTTAGCACGTCATAATCGCGTTTGTTTCTGAAATGGCCTCCAAACCTGTTCCTTTTCGCTTAGGGGATCACCAAAATGGACCCAAGAACAACTTGAACACAATGCCGGAAACACACACAAATGCCTAGCATCCTTAGAAACTCTACTAAGGTTCATCTAGGGTTCTAAGTCTTTTCCGGTTACTAGGATTCCAAAGTAAATGTTCATTTTTGACATATATGTGTTCTTTCAAATTCACACGTTCATCAGGAGTGTTTCTCAACCCACCTAGTCATCTACTTATCAACAGCCACACCTCTTAGACAAGAGGCAATACGTAGCCTGCCATCAAGGTCACAGGCATAGCCTGGAAGGCATGGCACATGCGGGGACACAAAATGTTAAACTACAAAACCCAACTAAAGCTTGTGATAACACCAATGACAAAGATTCTAATCACATCAAACGTGACAACAGTTGAATATCTGGGAATCGGAAGTAACAAAAAAATGTGTAACCATTTGCCATCTGTGGTGTATTAAGTAATGAGGAATGCATTAGGTGTATGGTGCCATGGGTGTGTTGCAGTGTCACCTCAGCCCGAGGCCCATGCAAACACATACTTCAAGGCGATGCTACCTCAGAAAGCAGTAGCTGAAGGTCGACTTTGGGATGGGTTTGTAGGCTGAAACTGATGGAAAGCTGGCGTTGCAAAGATGCAAACATAGCACAGCCCTGCAACTTCAGAGCTTTCTCCACCTTTGTCCACGCAGTGTCTCTCTGAAGCAGCCAACGATTAAAAAGGCTGATATATCACGGATCTTCGCCGTTGACCCAACTTGGGTACTACCTCGGAGTGAGAGCCAAGCCCCGCGCATGAGTCGATGGATGGTTGATTGTATTTATTTGATTCATCAATCTACACTATTGAGGATAGTGAATAGTCCCTTAAACATGCTGGCAAATCTCACTCGTCAACCATCACTCATGGCTCAGGTGGAAGTGGGCTCACGATTGCCCATTCACTTGCACTTTCCTCGCATTCCTTGCATGTTGTTGGCGCACCAGAAATTCCAAGATCCACAAAGAACTGGAAGTACACAAACTCCTTCTTGCACTTTTGGCATGTTGTCTTCTTCTCTGACTCTTTGGACTTCTGTGCACAATCTTCACATAGTACCAGCTGACCTTCCTTGATGTACTGCTCATTGTTCTTCTCCACCATAGTGCCACAATTTCCTTTGCACAGGAAATGGCTCTTCATGGCTTTGCCAAGAGCCTGGGACTTGAAGCGCTCCAAGGCTTCTTGTCCTTCAGCTTGTCGTAGCTCGCGGAAAGAAGGCCTGCGCACCAAAGTGAAGCGGCTGGGATCAATGGAGTTTGGCTTGGAGGCTGGTGCCTTGGGCCCACATGGCTCACCGGGGGATTCAGGATGTTCCGTTTGTCCAGGTTTGGCTGTGGGCTCTTGCTCTTGAGACCGGAGAAAGAGATGCTTGGCTTCAAGTGTCATTGCGTGATCAGCCTCACCCTCCATCAAGACTGACCAAGCTGCTGAAGCTTCTGAGGATGTGGAGGTCGAAGCAGTGACCAAACCAAGCTTTCCATCCAACTGCTTCTTGCCTGTGCCAATGACCACCACGTTGGAACCTTGATTGATCTTTGGAGCAGCAGGCGCATTGGTAGCAGGTGTCCATGGAAAGTCTTGGGTCGTGAACTGATGGCCGGCCGGGTGGGCATGGGCTCGCCCCTTGAAGCAAGCACCACAGAAATGGACAGCGCAATCTTTGCAAGTGAAGCGTGCTCCGATCAATGGTTCGCTGCCGCATCCTGAGCACTGAAAGCCAAAGTGAATGGGCATCTTCTGTTCTTGCAGAATATGGTCCTGAAACTCTTTGTGGCCGGGCATATCGCGAAGGACGTAAAGCTTGAACACGGAAAAGCACTCACACTGACCCACCGGAGATGCGTCAAGCTCCGCCATGATGTTTTCTGTGGACATGCCAGCAACCTTTTTGCCGTCAATGGACAGAAGCACTTCGGGTCGAGGTTCTCGGCCAAGAATGACAGGTGGATCAGACCATAGCACAGTCATCGACCCCAGGGCGCCTGTCTGCAAACCACTGTGGCCATCGAACCGAACCGGGCGTGTTTTTTGCAGCTTCCTTGACCCCCTCATACAAATGCCACGACCACAATCCTGCAACTTGCGCAAAATCTCTTCACGAGGAAGTGTCTCGACATTCTCGCCGTCAATTTCATGAAGTGCGTCACCTGCATGGTTTGTTTCACCTGGGCCTTCCAGCAAGAATGCGGAACATGCCTGATGCACATGTTCATTCTCCAACAAGACAGAAAACCTGGTGCGAACAAAAAAATACAGAATGACAAAGACAATTATATCTAATGTAATTGGAACTTCAAATATGACATACGTAAACAAACAATCAATATCCTAAATTATGATATTGTTTTTTTGCGCGCTATGTCAGACATTCTGAAAACCATTTAAGATATAACCGAATGTATGAGAATATAGAGGTCTGTCCATAATTGTATATGAGTACTATATATTTCTGCTTATATATGTTGTTTTATGTTGTTTATGTAACGTCGGGGAGATTGTAAAACATGAATTTCAAGTCCCAAGGATTCCCAAGGCAACATGTCCAACTGGCCTTCAGACACAACCCCATCCGCAGGAGATGCAGAGACAATCGCGGTCACTTGAGGTGGGGAAGTCCATGCAAAGACGGCTCCACCCAAAGTATCAGAAGCCACAGCCTGGCTGGAGATTTCAACCCCTGTGGCATAGTCAGCTGAACACAGTCTCTGCATGTCCCTCCTTCTTTTTCGGGTGGAAAGCAAATATCAAATGATTACTGTAAGAAATTTATGCCAACTAGCAGCATGTTGTTCATCCCAGCTCTCGGCTGCGTCTGGCGTGTGAGCTCTCTTAGCAGCATCGGCGCGGACTGCTTCCAAGAACAGGTGTCTCTTCAATGACATGTCATGAGTCTCAGAAGAGTCCTCAAACAACTCTCTCAAAGCTTTCAAACGACTGCCTTTTGATAGAAGCCGCGAAAGTCCATCTGACCCTTTCAGAAGCCCATCAAACGTGTCTTCCAACTGCTTCAAGGCCATCAAATGCATCAAACGTTCTAAGCCTCCATCACTCTCTTCCTCCCTCCTTTCATCAATCATTCCTTTGAGTCTTCGCTGAGTCGCCATGCCAACCATCATGTTGTTTTCTGCGGCCAGAAGCCGTAAGGTTTCCTTCTTCGACATCTTCCCCACGGACGTGCCACCCACAAGTTTCAAAGCCACACCAGGTTGACACCCAGCTTTTTCCGCCGGAGAACCTTTCCTGACCTCCACAATTTCTGGGCAATTATTCCAGCGAAGAACGGCGCCTCCAAGACAAGGACACTTGTCAGACTCTGACTCCATCCAAGAAAAGATGGGCGCTTGGCCAACCAAATCTTCAGCATCTTTTCTCACAGCATCCAGAAAAGCGCTCAGTTTGGAACCGGACATTGGCATCCAATCGACCTGAAGCTCTGGGCCCTCAACAATCTCATCACTCGGGACCTCCTCCCCAATCGAGCCAAGATGGTGAGCAAGTTCTTCTTGGTGAAGTGACCCTGGCTGAAGTGGGTGGGCCTCAAGCTTTAAAGTGTGGCATATCTCGTTGCAGACATGGTTCAGGAAGAAGGCATCCATGCCCTTGGAAGACAAATTGCCACGTCCAAAGCGGTTCGTGTCCAACGAATGGATCTGTGGATCTGTGAGGGTGTTCCCAACTCCTTGAATGTCAACCACCATAATGTCGCCATCGGTGGTTTGCCAGGTGTAGTGGCTGTAAGCTTGCGCCACATCGGAATCTTTGGCAATGTGCCCAGCATTGGAGGTATATTTCTCATGTTTCCCAGGGATCCAAGGCTCAATTGCCATGAAACGGAAAGGAAACCCACTGACATCCCCCAAGTCCAACAGCTGGGCGGGCACGAATTCGATGGGTCTCTCTGGGTACCTGAGACTGAATTCCTTGGCCAAGTAGGAGGCTACTGCTTGCGACGCCATGTCACCTTCATAAGTGGACTTCTGTTGAAACACCGGGTCTTGGAACTGGTAGACCTTGCCCACGTACTTCCTGTCAAGGTTCTCCTGGTCCACCACATAGAAGGCAAATCTCATGGCACCTTTGTCAAAGGGCATGGGGGAAACCAGGGCGCGGAAGGGCTTGCGGGTGTTCTGCAGGGGTTCATCCAAATCCTCGAAGAAGTAGGTGTAGAGCTGGGCATCGACAGATTGCCATTGGCCTGCATGATCCCACTTGGGAGGAGTTTTATCCATCTCCAGGTTCAAGCGCCGGCCATGGATGGCCTTTGCTTGGCTCATTTTCGAGACGGAACTCCCATATGATGCCACTGAGGCAGAGGACACTATGCAGCGCAGCTGCTTGGCATTTTCCTGGGCATCAACAACTTGCAATTTCAAGGCCTCTGGTCCCGTCTGGTACTGCCGCCTGAAGACCTGAATCATCTTGTCAATCGTTGAAGCTGGCGATAGCCGCAAAACCACCAGCTGGATGTACTTGTTCTGGAGTTCCTGTGCTTCTGAATTGCAGTTGGCCACTTCTAGTGTGATACAAAAAATAAACGTGGCTTGTGGCCACCATGGAACTGCTTCCGCGAGATAGACTAGCAGCTTAATTGATTACGATTTAAAAACGAGAACACTCCAGCTGCTGCTAAGAACGACCATGGTGAAACGATTCAAATTTAATTAAGCCACAATTCACGTCAAAGGTTGCTGAGCTGATCGCTCTAGTTGCTCTAGTTCAACTTGTGCCTACACGGTAGCACTCACTCTGTGCCTAAAGGTCGACCTGCGTATGTCGGGGTGAAAACCTGCGCGTGAAAACTTCACTCCGCTCTTGCTCTGTGTCGTGAGCGGTTGTCCCTAGCCGGAGCAGCGTGTACAGGCTCGACGGCTAAGAATCTTGTGAGTGGAGCGGCCCTGCAGCTCTTCTTAGCATGCCAAACTTCCCCTGTGGGAGCGTAAAAGATCTCCTTTCCCACGGGGCACAGCTCTCTGCGCAACTCAAGGCCTCGCTCAACCGCTGCTGAACTTGTAGATGTGGACGCGATGTCCTCATACTGGCGAAGTCGGTGCCGGAGACGAGTGTGGGCCGCCTCCTCCATCTTGGTCTGGTTCAGGGACCAGGTCAGGTCCTTCTCCAAAGTCAGCTTTTCCTTCTCCAAGGCTGACTTCTCCTTTTCACGCTCTTCGATCTGGCGTCTCAGACTCTTGACCTCTGCCACCAGACCTGATGTCGTGAACAGGTCACATTGGCTTTCCTCATCCTTGGCATAGCGAATGCACCGTTTGAACATTCGGTGCAAAAGCTTCCAGGCCATATGCCACAAGGCCACTGCGGCAACAGCAATCACTGCCATCACAGTGACTTGTCACCTTCTTCTTCTTCTTCTTCTTCTTCTTCTTCTTCTTCTTCTTCTTCTTCTTCTTCTTCCGTCGTCCTTGCTGTAGCCTCGCCACCTTGGAAGAAACATAGTGCCACCAGCAAACTTGTAGTAGGGCTCGTCGACGATGAAGCCAAGCTCTTGAGCAACTGTTCGTCTCCTTGGTGAAGGCGCTCTTCTTCCACTTCTTGGAGTATTGGCAATCTCCTGGCCTCGATGAGGTGATTCGGCACATTGAAAAATCTCACAACACCAGTAGTGAGAAGCTCATTGAGCGATGCAGAAACCATCACCTTGGTAAAGGCATCGCTTGTCACGCATTCAGTGGGAATCATGATGACCCACCTGATCGATGTGCCATGATGTAGATGCGCTGGCCTTTGTCTTGCGGCATTGCCTTGACTCCTGTGGTGAGCTCATAGAAATCTCTGCAGTCGGTGTAGACGTCAACCGGCAGGAAGGGCACTCCCTCCTGAAGCGCAGCCAGCTGGGCCAATGAGGGCTTGCTGTCTGGCATGAGCAACTCACCCAATCTGAGGGAGACCAGCGATGAAGACTCCAGGCCATTGATTGCCGCCAAAGTCTCTCCGTGACTTGTTGAGTAGCTGATGCGCTTTGCCTTGCCTCCTTGAGCCCATAGTAGGTGAGCAGGTCCTCCAAAGATCTGCGGATCATAACCATCAATCTCATGGATGGAGCCGTCCAGGTTGAGGCGATCCACAGTCAGGAAAACCATGATGCCTTCGTTGACATAGGCGTGTCCTTGCGAAGCCGAACTGGCGTCATGAACGCAAGCAAGTCTCCATCCGGCATTCTGAGAAAGATGCCTGTAGATGATGCCCAAGTCTTTGTACTTCTTGTCCTTTGCACGCTTCACAATGGCCCAAGATAGGGCGATACTTGGTGGTCTCTTCCTTCGTGAGAGGTCGCTCTTTGCCCTTGTCGTTCTCCACTTCAGTCGTCTTGAGGGAGCTTGGGCGCGATAGCCTCGAGCAACCTTTTCATACACCATGCCACAGTGTTGGAAGGGCATCTTTTCACGAGTCACCTTCCCAAACTTCTTGGTGACCTGCGACAGCCTTCCAGCATCTCAGGAGTCGTGGCCGCAGCAATATCATTGACATGCGTCGTGAGGATGGTGCTCACCTGGCCGTTGGTCTTCCAGAAAAACATGTTCTCATCGCACACGGACTGTTGGCCACCCAGCTCTTCAACAAACTCGTGTAAACACAACTGCCAAGACAGAGGCGCATCATTGAACCCGTAGACAGGCTTGTTGCAACCCAAAAGTTACTCGCCCATCTGAGACTCTGGGATGTCGAAGCTCTTGTCCATCTTGGCCAATTGGCGCCAAACCTTGGCTGGTGGGATGATAGCCACCAGACGTCGAGGAGAGATGACGCGTCGCTCGCGCAGCTTCCTCACCTCGTCAAACGACAGACCTTTCAAGAAGGCTCCAGAGACATCCAATGATTCAATCTCCAGATTCATGGCGGCAGCCAAACTGACCAGGATCCGTTGCGACAATCTTGTAGGTGGAACGAGTGGACATGGATGATTTCTGGGGATCCAGACATAGACGGCTCTTGGCTTTCATTGTCTTGTCAGGATTCCTCTTGAACTTCCTGACCCAAGTGCAGTCAACGATGACCATGTCCTCTGTCACCTGGCTGATATGCATCTTGAAGAATGCTCCTTCATCCACAAACTGCTTCAGTTCTGCAAAATCAGAGAGCTCAAAGGCATCCCAATGTGGAGCCAGCTTTTCTTCTGTCACCACGTCCGTGCCGGCATCAACTCTAAAGATCTCAGTGGTCCTCATGTCCATGTAGAGGAGCTCTTCAGTCTCCCCATGGATGTGGAAGATGTAGTGCCTCGGATGTGTTGAGCTTGGTGTGGAATGTACTCTTTGGTGGAGTCCTGTTGTACTGCATGATAAGCGAGCGATTGTCGAACCAAATTTCATCGCTCGGGTAGTCGATCTTGAGTGGTCGCTTGGTCATCCACCATAAAGAGTTCAGGAGCAGTTCTTGTTCTGTCGGCCCTTCATCTTCAGCGTATTCATATCTTGCCTTCTTCTTCTCTGGTGCCATGACTATCGTTCTTGTCTCAGGACCACCTCGCTTCCGAGACTCTGAGGTGTCCATACGAAAGTAGTACAAGTACAAACGACAAACATCCTCCAGCACTGTGTGATCTTCTAGCACCAAGTGGCTGTCTCCATTGTGCTCCATCATCACGTATTGCTTGGATCCTTTTGGCCATGAGATCAAGACGCCTTTTGAGAACTGGGAATATAGACCTGCTTGACTGCTCTTCCATAGCGAATGCCATGTAGTTCTTTCTTGCTGAATAAAGACGCCAGCGCTTTGGCCAAATACTCATTCTCGGTGTCTGTCATCTCGGCAGGAACCTTGGTCCATCATTCCAGAGAGGCATTCGAGGCATTCTTGAGAAGAAAGCCAATGGTGTGCAGCTTGTAGGGGTTACTCTCTTCAACCAGCTGCTGCAGCGAAAGCAGATCCTGTTCACAAATCTTCTCCACATCATCGTCAAAGCAGTGAGAGAAGAAGCTTCCTCGGTAGACACGGATGTGGCGCAGACTCATGAGGTATGGTCGTCCCTGGTACTCCACGGCGCACGTACCATCAGCATCATTGATCTTCAAAAGAAGTGCAGGGCCTCTCCATCCATAGTTGCCATCATCTCGATCGATGTCGACTTGTGTGGAGCCCACAATGAGATTGGAGAGGTCCAGCTTCTCTGGCCGAGTTCGGCCGGCGCGCAGAATCCTGTCCTCGAGGATGGAGGCCTCAGCTGCTTGAAGTGCAATCTGTCTCAATCGCACCGGAACTTCTTCAACGTCCAAGTAACCACAAGGAAGGACGCCGAAGACCATCATAGAAGGACTGTATCCTCCAATGTTCAGCGTGAGGTTGTGAGCCATAAACGCTTCGGCCGCTAGCTCTTCAGGTTCTGGTGTGATGGAGAACCTAGCAGCTTCTGTTGCACATTTGGCCATCGTCATCTTCAAGAGGCCGACGTGTCTCTCCACCATGCCTGTTCCTGTACGCTTCGTTCCTGCCGCGCCACTTGTTGCGCCCATGGGAACACATTCGACGCCAAGACGATCGAACTCAGGAGCGGCTTCTTGTGACATGAGGGCGCCTTCTTGGTCGCAAACAATCCTCTTGGAGGGTCCAAAATACAATCGTCCAGCGACCTTGTAGCGAGTGGCTTCGTCCACGATGCAAATGAACAAGCCAGAACGCCACTGGAAGAAGTCGACTTGGATCACCTCATTGAAGTCTTTGGCAAGACCACTCTTGACCTGAGGGCGTCGAGTAGCTCGGGTGAAGCGCCTGCAAACAGCGCACGCTGAGACCAGTGTCTTTGCAAGCTGCAAGACTTCACGAGGCATGCCACAGCTATTAAAGTCCATCACTGGACAGTGCCACATTCGCTCATGTAGTCCCAGTAGAATGCGCTTCGCTTTTGCTTCATCTGTCCCGGTCAAAGAAGGCAGTTTCTTGAAGATGCGGCGGAAGTCATAGAGAGGCTTGATAGTGGTACTTGCTTCGCTTTTATCTGCTTCAATCACTTGTAAGGAACTGGCATAGCTTCAGCCGTGGGTTGGAATTCTTCAGTCGGTTCTTCTTTCACTTCAACTCTTTGAGGCGCCGGTGCGCCAGGTGCTGGTGCGCCAGGAGCAGGTGTTCTTGGCGCCGGTGTTCCAGGTAGAGCAGGTGCTGGATTCCTTGAGGAGCTTGCTGAAGGATATTTTCCAAACACGCACACAAGCCAGTCCTCGTCGAAGTCGACAGGTTCATGGCGTTGATGATGAGAGAGTTCGCGAAGGTCTTCTAGCGAGAGGTTTCCAGAGATGAAAGCTTGCCTGGAAACTTGCTGGTCTGCGGTGAGAAGCGGGCTTGCCGACTTCGTACATGATGTCGCATCCATTGTCCATCATGCTTTTGCCAGTGATCACGACGACGATGCTTTGGTGAAGGCATCAGTGCTCCTGCACTGTGTGGAGATAGATCATCTGGTTGTTGAGCATAAGGTTCATCATGCTGTGGCTCTTGCGTTTGCGGTTGTAGAGCATGAGGTATTGCCTTCTCTGGACTCCGCTCAAGCTCTGCGCCGGAGGGCGTCGAAGAAACCATTGTTTGGAAACAGTAGAGGAGATGGTCAGAGCAATCATTCCATCTATGTCGTGCTTGTTGTTGGACTTGCTCAATAAAGAGTACTGCCTTCCTCTGGTCCTCCTTTCTCACAAGCTGCGCGCCGTCAAGCGGAATGATGTAGTGTCCTGAATCGGTGAGGAGCAGACGAATCATGGAAGGGGTTCACTTCTCCCTTTCACAACTTCCTTTTGACATTGCTGACCTGACCAATGCCCTGAGGTCCCTTTATGGCCGGACCAGCGTGCCTGCTCATGTGGCTCCCAGCTTCATTTGGAAAGCACTGGCGGAAGAAATTGGATCCTTGCTTTTTGGCTGGCTTGCATTGTAGGATGGGTGCTGGACACATTCCACATGAATGGCGGAAAGGCTGAGTTGTCTTGCTTCCCAAGCCAAACAAACGATTCATTGAACCCAAAGCACTTCGTCCCATAGCACTGCAGACTCCACTGTCGAAGACTATTCTGTCCCTGTTTGTGCATGAAGCCAAGAAACACACTCTCCCGGCCATGACTTGGTTTCCCCAATTTGCCTACCTTCCTGGGCGGGGGACCTGGGAAGCCATTACCAGGGTGCAAGCTCATGTCAAGGCGGTCCAAGGACTTCACCAACAATGGAAATATGACGCTGGCCAAGTGAAAGCACCCGGGATCAAACGACCCCTGGTCTATGGAGGCTGTCAATTGTTTCTTGACATGACGGGTGCTTTTGATGCAATGCCCAGGGAACACCTTAAAGAAGCCTTTAGAGACCAACCATCTCGTCTGGTGAGATAAAATGTCCTGTACCACATTCTGATCCACTCCATGTAGAGCTTCAGACTGTATGTGGGGTCACCAGGACACCATCCAGGAGGTGTGTCCTTGCGGAACTCACCAAGCAGGAGTCCGCCTGGAGGCAAAGCCGCCTGTGCCATGGCCGCGAGCTCCTTCGCGATGTCCGGGATCGCTTCGTAGAGCGCGAAGAGGTGGTTGTTGGCACCCAGGATGGACACAAGGAGAAAAGCGCAGGTCGAAAGGGAGGCCGCCACCATGTGCGGAGGCGCAGGGATGCAAAAGCGAAAAAGGACCCTGCATGGCACGGTACGACCGATCCGAGGGGTGGAGCCTCCACTAAGGAGGCTCCGCTACCAAACACGGTAGCACTCACTTTGTGCCTAAAGGTCGACCTGCGTATGTCGGGGTGAAAACCTGTGAATGAAAACTTCACTTGCCTAACAACAACAACAACAACAACAACAACAACAACAACAACAACAGCAACAACAACAACAACAACCACCACACCGACCAACCAACCAACCAACCAACCAACCAAACAAACAAACAAACAAACAAACAAACAAGAAACAACAAGAAACAACAAGAAACAACAAGAAACAACAACAAACAACAACAAACAACAACAAACAACAACAAACAAC